TTGAAAGCGACATAGTTTTGCATAAAAAACGATAAATAATTCCATTACACAAGACGAAATAATAATAATAATATATATCGTGTGCTGTACCGCGTTTTTACCTACTCGTTCTCATATTACCACGTGCAGTATAAAAAACGGGTAAAAATTTTTCTCTGATTTCCGACGCGCCTGTAATAATGTAATAATGTTTGTTTTACGCACATAAATACATTTATAAATATTGTTTTTTATATAATAATATCACAATTCACAATACCATAATATTATTGTAGACATATTTACCATATATTATGTTAGCTTAACATATTTTAATGTACTGTAAATTTCTAATATATTTACATGTTTTACGTATAAGGACACAAGCCACGTCTACATGTTATTACTTTCGTGCCGACAAATTACAGATAATATTAAATTTCAATACTATAATAAGTAGTAAATACACCTATAAAAGAATGTAAAATATTAAAGTGTCCCATAGTAAGTTATTTTAGTACTCTGGTGCAATAAGTATTATCTGTTCGCTGTCACGCATGATAGACATGTGGCATGTCTATGATTATTATATGAATTATAATTACTAGGTTACCTACCTATCATATCATATATGACAGCAGGCAGATAATGCTTATTGTGTCTGAATACTGAAATAACTTACTATGTGGTATATTTTAGTGTTTTACATTCTAATAAAAGTAAGTACTTACTATAATATCGGAATTTTTCATCTATTATTTTTCGGGACGAAAGTAACATTTAGTTGCGTACTTTTCATTTAAAAACACGTTATTTGACTAGCTAAAATAATAAGATTTTTTTTTTTGATATATTATAGTTTAAGTCTATTAATTTTGTATCGGTATTGGTAACTGTTCATAAGAGCGTTTATATAATATTTATTATACATACTTCTGAATTTTGACAATATCAAAACTAAATAGAGAAAAATATAAAATTTATCAATGATCAAATAGACAAATATAGTAATTTAAAAAAAATAGTGAATATTAATTTCAAACTAATAATTAATAATTCTATAGTTGATTAATATAAAAACCAATTTTTTAATTTACTTTTATATTCATTACCAAAATTTCATCTCAGTGTTAAATTATAATACTGCAGATTGGTCTATTATATTAATTATTATATATAATATATATATTACATTAATTTCTAATGATATTAATTTGGCAATGTCTTAAATAAATAGCTTTTTTACTAGTAATTGAAATATTTGTAATATTATTTTTGATATACTTCAACTAAAATAAAAAAATAAAAATATATTTTGATTTTATAATAATCAAGCCGTAAGACTAATTTTCATATAAATTAATTTTAGAAGTTATTTATTAATATATTATCCGTTAAAAATACTTATTAAAATATAGTTATACTAGTAATGTAAGTAATAAATGTAGTCAAGAAGCAGGTATTAGATATAAAGAAATAGACAAACGATAAATGTATGAGGATAAAATTATAAATATAAAGAGACATTCTGTTTATTAAATTATCATTCATCGTATGCATTTTTAATATACGACTTGGTGCCTCGTAATACGGTGGTTTCTCGGCAAAAACCTTCATCATGCTGTATACCGGATGTAATTAATACAATAATACGAACAAATTGCAATAATATAATACGACGGTAACAAAATGAAATCGTATGCCAGTGCACATGAAATAACTCAATTAAAAGTTGATCGTGTCACGCTATATTATGTTGTACATACACGATAAACTAAATATTTTTTTCCGCACGCTGATTATTTTTTTGACGTTCTTAATGTAGCTGTGGTCTACAAAAAATGTACATAACGTTTGAATTAAAAAATATATTTTCTATTTCAAATAATATAATAATTACGATGTATTGTTAGTATATTTGTTATTTCGCCCGGACACTTAATTTTATTAAAGTTTATAGAAAAGAGATACAAAATATTGATCTTAGGTTACGGTTATTTTACTAGCATCGAAAAATTTTTCTTTTCGTATGAGCTTTTGGAAATATTCCCGAATATATTTTCCAAATAGAAGTTTTTGCCATTGGATATTTTTCTAATAATAGTTTTAACAAAACATTACCGATGTTGTCAGCCATCAGTTATTCAAATAATGTTCTCGGTCAAAGTTTTGAACCAACAATATTTATTTATTTATTTTTTCAGTGTGGCGCCACTGAATTTGTTTGGGTTGTCATAGGTGCCTATAATACACTTATATAATCTATACGTATATACGCGTCGTGTGGTGTTATTTTACGCGTTTTAGTCACATAAGCATAATAAAAAAATAATATATTCTCGCATTCAATATTTATGTGTGAAGTGTAGAGAATTATTATATAATATATTTTACGAGAGACATACAAATACACGTACTATTTTCTCTCTCCTACATGCTCCCTCTATAGTATATTTATATCAATACTATATTGTACGTATAATATACTGCGGACTAGTAGAGGTATAGGTACTATTCGTGCAAGTCGCGTGCGTCGTTAACGGTAGGTAGGTATATGTGCGTATAGTAGGTACGCGCGTCGACGTCACGGCGTGATGGAGCAATTAGCGGAAGGGAGGGGGGTACTCCCAGGGGTAGTTTGCTCGTTAAAAAAGGGAGTGTAACTGGATTCGAGCAGTCACGGTCTATACCGCCTCCTCGTGTGATGTACACGCATATAATGTTATATATATAACGTTGGCCGCCCGGTAAATATTATAATATTTATTTTAATATAATCGGCTTTTGGTATACTTATGCAATATATATATACCAGATACCTACATAATATATCGTGTGTAAGTTTGTTGTATGCGCGCGCATGAGCAACATTAATCTATAAGTGTATACACATAACAAGAACTATATAATATGACATGCACATTTATAATATAGGCATATTTATATCGACATAATATACCCAATGTCGCGTATTATATATATATGTATGTGTATATTACGTGTGTGTGTAATAATTATACTACTGCTTACGGTTCACACACACACACATATATATAGATATAAAGACACGAATTACTATACATTAAATCGACTATAACCAATCGACACGCGAATGATATACACAATGATTTTTCACCGGTAATTATAATAACAAGAAAAATAAAACTTGTCCGTCGTTTACATTTGTGTACAGTCAACTCGTAGCCAGGAACTACGCGTCTACACGCACATCATATCTTTATAAGAATATCATCTACGTATATGCGTTACGGTAATGTTGACACACACACACAAGTACTCAACTCTCTTCCCTCCGTGTCGACGCTTCGCGATAATATACACGAACGCACTCGTACATGTTATAATATTATGCGTATATATATAAATATTTAATAAGATATCTGCAGCAATATTAAATTATATTACATATATACGTTGCGAGATTATTCGCATAGAACAGTCGTCGTCAATGTGTTCCAAAAAATTCGCGACAAATCTTGATCCCGTATCTTAGGCATACCGCGATAGCTATAGTCACACATCTTTCGCCACACTTCCCCTTTTTTTCTCTCTACCCGACTTATCGAGTAGATATTTTGAGAACGACCACCGCGGAGAGGCGCCAAAACGTGGTGGGATTATTTATTCGCAAAAACTCTGTGCGACGAAACGATAAAAGACGTACCTAATATACGTACTATGTCGACGTTTAAGGTCAGTAAGCAAGATTGCATAATGACAGTTATCGTCAAACCAAATTTTCGTAAGACGGTTTTTTTGTTTTTTGAAAAAATTCTTCATTAATTTCGAAGCCAGCTGAAAATCCTTAATCGTACGAAGATTGCCGGTTAAATTTTAAATCAAACGAGTAGGGAATACGTATTTTGTTTTACGAATTTAATTTGATATTGACGATAAATTCAATCAATTTTTCTTCAATAAATGACTGCTATATACTTATAAATTTATATACTAATCATTTTTTTTTCCAATCTTAATAAATTAAATTGATTTGTCTCCCCAAGTAATTAATTCTACTTGTGCGGGCACTACTAGATAACCATTGCAGTCTGCAGTGATATGCAGTGGCGTAATTGCGGGGGGGCAAGGGGGGGCAATTGCCCCCCCAGAAATGTTTGTGGTGGGGCAAAAGTATCATTTTGCTCCCCCCACAAATAATCCCCATTTAAAAAATGTTCTTAACATTAACAATAATATTAAAATATTTTTTTCCTCTAATTACTTTATAAAAGTTTATATTTATTTTAGGTTTCTCTTGTTGAATAATATTATAATGTTGACGTATATTGTCAGTGTTACTGTTATTGCAATAATTTCATTATTCGTGGCTATTATTATCCATGATTCGAGAACACGTTATTATCTTGAAATCGAGATTACAGGAACGTACGGCCGATTGCCGAACGGGAGGTTAATTTTAGATCAATAACAAGTAACTGATATAATAGTATATTATTAGTATAATAAAGATAATTATTATATTATTTTGTCTGGATAATTGCTTATATCCCTGTTCAGTTACTTCAGTTGTACTTATTAGTTATTACGTGTGCTTTCCTAAATAATTGTTTATTTGTTAATATTTATTAAATACGTTTTTTTTTAAATATGTCTATTAAACGACAGTTGTCGATGGTCGATTTCTTGTCATCGAAATCGACGAAATCTAAAAATTCAACAAATATCCAAAGCAGTGAGTATTACTTAAATATTTAATACATTTTTTAAACAAAAATATTTTTTAATTTTTATAGCATTATTCTTACATTATTTTAATTTGAATGGTTCATATTATGAACAGATAGAATAATAAGTACCTACTAAAATTATTTAATTTAAAGTTATCTACTCAAAAATTAATGAATTAAAAAATGGAAATTATTATACATATAATTATACTAAATTCTAGTGTAAAGATTCTTATTATGTATTTATTACCTATTTAATTATAATTTTATAATAATTATTATGATTATTAAATTAAATTTATTGTATTTTAGAAAGTGCAGAAAAACCTGAAAATAGTACCACATGTATGGGTAACACTATAAATGATGATATTATGAAGATACTAAAACCTGAAAATGTTCAGAGCAGTGAGTATGAAATTAACTGTGATCGTGATCCAGGTAGAAATTTCAAAAATGCATATAACTTACTTTGTTCTGGTCTCGGTCCATATCAGCCAACTGATTGTGACTTCCCTAAAGTTAATGGCAGAAAATTTAGAATAGAATGGTATGTGAAATATCCATGGCTTGAGTACAGTCCTTCACAAAATTCAGTATTTTGTTTTTATTGTCGTGCGTTACCGTCTGCCAGTTGTGATCAAGCATTTATAACTAATGGTTTTAAATCTTGGAAAAAAATGAATGAATATTCTACTAATCATTCCAAAAGTTTTGGCCATAAGGAATCTTTGACCAAATATGCTGGCTTAAAATCAGCTATTAAACATGGTAATGTCATATCTAAAATTGATAGTAATCATAAGAAAGTTGTAAAAGAAAATAGAGAATATATAAAATGTTTATTGGAAACTCTTTTATACTGTGCTTACCAAGGTATCCCAATTCGAGGACATAGAGAAAATGAAGATTCTGAAAACATGGGCAATTTTTTAGAATTGATGAAATTACGAGCAAAAGATAATAATATCTTGGATCGTTACTTTTTACAAAAAGAGAAATCTTTCAGATATGTGACTGGTACATATACTAATGAATTTATTAGTTTAATGGCTGCGTTTGTAACAAAAAACATTATCAAGGACATACAATTGGCTGGTATTTATAGTATATTAATTGATGAAACACAGGATCTTGCTAGGCATGAACAAGTATCATTCATCATACGTTATGTTGATGGTAATTTAAACCCCCATGAAGTTTTCATAGGATTTTATAGAACAGCCCGAACTGATGGTGAGTGTTTGACTAATTTAATAAAAGTGGTACTCAATAGTTATAATCTTAGAATTGAAGATTTAAGAGGTCAATGTTATGACGGTGCAGCTTCTATGAGAGGGTCTTATAATGGTGTTCAGGCTAAAATACGAACTGAAAATCCATTAGCATTTTATGTTCATTGTCATGCACACATTCTAAATCTTTGTTTGGTTGATTTGGCTAAACAAGTTTCATATGTGAGAAATACATTTGGGACATTAAAGGCTTTGCATAATTTTATTGGTGCCTCTTCTAAAAGATATGAAATATTTGAGCAAATACGGATTAAAATGGGCGATAAAATTGGACCAAAAACTTTAAAAAGTTTGAGTGACACAAGATGGAGTTGTAGGATAGATGCATTAGACTCAGTTCTGTCCAATTTTACGGTCATTCTCAAAACTCTAGAAGACATATCAGAACAAGATTCAATATATGGATCTGATGCTTCTTCGTTGCTTTTTTCTATATCAAACTTTGAATTTGTGTTCTGCATTGTTTTTTTAAATGATGTAATGCGAGAAACTAATATCTTATCAAAATATTTGCAATCCCCTAATATTAATTATGCAAATGTAAATACAATGACACTTCAAACAGTAGCTATTTTAAATGAGCATAGATCAGTTACAGAATTCGATAAAACTTGGAACAAAGCTATGAAAATAACAAAAAAAAACAATATTAGCTCTCCAAAACTTCCCAGAAAAAGAACTATTCCACTAAAATTGGGAGGAGGTCAAGTTAATTCTACAAACATAATAAGTGTTCAAGATATGTATAAAATTAATATCTATTACATTGTTTTAGATATTGTAATAAAAGAAATACAAGACAGATTTAAAGAAAATGATCTTAATATACTACAAGCTATGAAGGATGTTATTATCAGTGAAAAACCTGAAAATAATTCAATAAAATTAGTATGTGAAACATATAACTTAGATTTTAACGAAGTCACTATTGAGCTTGCTATGTTTAATCGGATGTTCAAGACAAAATATGATGAGTTTAACATCAATAATAAAATAGTATATTTGTTATGTGGTGATATACAAATAGGATTTACAAATTACACAAAAATTATAAAAATATTTTTGACCATACCAACAAATACTTCCTCATGTGAAAGAACATTTTCCTGCTTAAAACGCTTAAAAAGTTACTTACGAACCAGCATGGGACAAGAGCGCTTAAGCGGATTAGCATTATTACAAATTCAAAGAGAAGTGCCAATTGATTTTGACAAAGTAATTGATGAATTTGTTTCGAATGGAGTAGGTGGTAACAGAAAACTCACATTAAAATAAAAATAATAAAACCTATTCTTTCTTTTATTTGTTAATAAAGTAATTAAATTATTTGTTGGTTATTTATTTATTATTTATTGTTCCCCAAACATAAAATATGTGTATATATTATATATACTAACCTACTTTTTAAACTACTTATAACACCTTTTATTAATGACTTCTCTAGGTACTTAATAATATTTAACCTGTTACCTACAATTTTTTTCTTAACCATAACATGGGCTTTAAGACTAAATCAATGTAGGCTGACCCCTACATTTTTGATTATGTTGAATAAATTATTTTGCCCCCCCTAGTTTTTTATCCAGTTACGCCACTGGTGATATGACAAAGCTATGTATTTAATAGATAGTGATTATCTATATATTGACAGGCCAATACAGTTCTATATGCATAATAAGTGATTATTTGATCATCAAACGTCGTGTACGCCTATGTGTATAAAATACGATATAATGGTATTGGTGTTCGTGTGCAATATGTTATTTATTATTAATTTAGATATAAATATACAATCGAGTTGCCCTTATATACTGCAACTACTTAGTATCTACTCCCATAAACTAGCTTTCTGTATAAACATTAAAACGTATATATAACTATTTAAATACCAAATGGAAATAAGCGATATGACTAAAGATTGTTATATGAATCAAAATTAACTCAAAATCTATTATTTAATTTAAAAAAATTGATCTATCATAATAAAATATCAGTTTTTGATATTTTATCATTTCAAAAATAGATAATTAGACAGAAAATAACGGACACACATGGTGAAACATCCTATATAATATATATGATAGTAGTCGGTATCCACACAGACTCTTGATGTGAGTGAAAAAGAGAGAAACAGAAATAATGAATAAAAAAGAGAGAGATACGGAGACAGAGCTGCTTGCCACTTGCTGAGTGGGGGCGGGAGTGATGGACGGTGTGGACCAAAGAAGAATCGAAGCGTCGGATTTATCCAGAAAAGTTTGCTTTGTCATCGTACAGTGCTCAAAGTGTTTTATCCTTGAAATTATCGGACGAGCGCACTGCAGAGAATACTATACACATATTTATATATATATACGTATATATATAGGTGGTGTATACTAAAGAGAATCACGCGGAACTAATAAATCGTTAAATCCAAAGAGTATACACGTCCCGTTTGCCTTATGTATGTACCTATGCTACGACGACGACAGCGTGTTTGATGATTGGGAGAAAAATATAAAAAAAAAAACTTATCGACATTATTAGACACTTACGATATAATAAGTCGTTTTCTTCGTTTTTCCACGACGTTAAGAACCGTTTTACTGGAAACAACCATTATTTTTGAAGAAACCTCAGTCCGCCGGAGAAATGAGACTCGATCGACGCCGTAGTTGTGACGTCATCGTTAATTCGAAAACAAACACACGACGTGTACGGCGGCATATTATTGCGTCTGCACAGCAAAAATCACACGGGACAGCAGTGGGGTCAGTACTTACTTGCATGTCTGCCCATCAGCCCGCTGGCCGATTTCGTGTTCACACGCAACGAATATTATTTTAGTTCACTGACGGAGAAAATCGATTTGGGCCGATAACCTCTCCCGCGGTGACAGTGGATTTGCAGATTAGCACAAAACGAATCCGAATTCAAAACCAATGACACTTATGCAGATGAAACGATGCACGTTGACCGTCGGCACACTACACTGTATCAAACATTGCTGGTATGGTACCTATATAATAATATTGTTAACTCAACACTAAAGGAGCTGTACCTAATGTCAGACCTTTATTTTTCGACGGGACCTAGATTTGAGAAAAATGGTAGTGATTTAATGTAAAAAAATTGCAACGCAATTACTTAAATAGATAAGTCCTGCAAGTATAAATAAAATAATCGGATTTTTATAATATAATGTGAACATCGTACTAGGGTTTATTTTAATTTAATTTAAATTCATTGGGTATCATATATTGATAATATTTTAAGATTAAGATTAGATATAGGTGCCTGCCTATATACGACGAATGATGCCAGATCCTGTAACCGCTTGCTTGAGTGGGTAGGTACTTCTTGGTTTCTATTGTCCCTCCAAATAAAATTTATTCGGCGTCACTGATTACGATGTTTCGAAGGAGTGGATTCGATCAACGGACTACGGGACACCGATTAACGATTTCGATAGTATAATAATGTCGATACATGTCTGCAGTGTTATTTGCTAAATGGTCAACCGATAAAGTCGCGCATACTTACTCTATAGTGTACAGCAGGTTCGACGAGTGTGACAATATTACCTGTATTATAATATTAAATACACGGACCAACACACATAGGAGGTTATTGTCGTACGGCGTCGCTGAGGACAAGAAAAAGAGGCAACGTCTATTATACATCGCAGCGTGTGTTAGTACCCATAATATAAACTACGGTACACGTCTCAATATTATGTCTTTTGGGCGCGAAGGGCATCGAGTATTGTATATATTTACACAAGCATATTAATATATTTATGTTATACGTACCTACTTATATAGATATAGATTGAGAATTCGTACTTGTATATTCCATAACAATCTATATTACCTTTATGCGCAGCTACAGATGTATTAAACATCGAAAAAAATCATTTATACCTCACACAATTTTAATATTACATATTGCATTGGTGTTAACTATAGTGTTTTTAGACTTATAAACGCGTATATTTCACCAGTGGTTTAATAATATCGTGAACGGAGTTATAACGAAGCAGTTTAGTATATTACGATACGACTAACCAGGTGCATAGTACACACCTACAGTGGTATAAGGACGACAACCACACGACTATATATTTATAATAAATAAATAAAATATGTGTCATCATATATGCATAGTTAGACATTAACGACTTCATCCACCCAAAAAAATTTGTCACCCGAGTGACAGATTGTACTAAACCAACCACATAAGTTATTGTACTAAAATCATAAACACATAATATTAACTCAGTAAATTTATTTTTAATTAACTTTTAACTCGACGTATCTTAATTTCAAAAAAATGTAATTAGGTAATTATATTGAATACTTTTATTAATTTTTTTAATATAACTCCGGAAATTTTGTCGTGGTGACATTATTGGGTTTGCATTACTGGTTATAATGTTAAAATGCATGCGTAATTTATTATACGCTCAATGCAGATTTTGTATTTTGTATGCAGCCGAGCCGAGCTGGATTGACCAAAAAACAGATGATTTAGTTTTACGATAAATGTTTTTGCAAAAAACTGTGCACTGATTTGTGTGTAATAAGTCCTAGCGCCAGTGCGGTTTGAGTGATACGAAAAACGTACCAAGTCCTCGTCCCCGCCTTAACGAACAAGCCGATAAATGTGAATGGATAAATAAATACAGGGCCCAAGTATACATGTATATATATATATTGCCATAAAACGATAACACCGAACGTGTTAGTCAAAATGACTACCGTGGGGATTAATCCCCTGTAAACACATGTACATACAAGTCGTTATAAACGTATTAACGTGCGGTGGCTTGGGCTGATAGGCGGCGGTCCTCGTTCGGTGGTTATCGGGAGGGGTTCGGGGAAAACGACGACGTTAATAACGAGTAAAACAACTGCTGGCCCCGCGCGGGTCGTCGTCGCCCCGCGGCGTAATTAATAATTTCGAAAACGGTCGCAATCGTAAACAACAAAAGTAATAACTAATAATTGTATTATTATTATTGTTGTCACTGGGATTTCGGTATACGGGCACGGCGCATGAGAAAATAAGACGGGCGGCGGCTTTTAATGATAATGAGGTCACGAGAGACTAAATTTATTGTACGACACGATGTTATTATTTTGGTGGTGCGTTTCGCGCGGGTCTCCGGATGTCGGCGTCGCCGGCGGTAGTAGTAGGTTAGATATTTCTCGGGCACGGTCCTTTAAATATCGTTTATTTTTCTCTCGGGGAGAGGGGGGTGTTGTAAGGATGAGAGGATTTTCGTCCGGTCGCTACGATCAACAGTTGATAACGCGACGGGGCAGGCAGCGCAGTCTTTTAAGTTCGCGAGAATACCATTATTATTATTATTATTATTATTATTTAGACAACAAAGACTGTCTATAAAATAAATATCACTATAAAATACTCAGTATAATATGTATATAAAGTCTAAGTGTGCGCGTCGCGAGCGTGCGTGTGTGTGTGTGTGTGTAGATGTATAGTAGTGGTGTATATAGTACGACTGCGACGAACGGCAAGTTAACGCGGCGGCGGCGTTGTGATCGACCAACGACCGCGTTGTGTGGTCCGTCGAGAGAGTATTTTTTCGTTGCCGTCGCCGCCGTCTCCGTCTTCGTCGTCGTCGTCGTCGTCGTCGTCGTCGTCCCAGTCATCGACGTCGTCGGCGGACGTCGCGCGCGCGGGGAACAGACGTGAGCGCGCGCACACACACACACACACACACACACACACACACACACGCGCGCGCGCGTACACGTACGACTACGACGACGACGAGGGGCGCGCGCGGAGAGAGGTCCTAATAGAGACATCAGATCTGCCGGACCCACCACAGTGCCCATGTCACATCGCTAACTCCTTCATAACATTACCTCATTAGAAGCCGCGCGCGGATGTGTGCGGCGGTCGATCCCCCCGCCCGGCCGCCCACCCCACCGCTATGCGTTTACGATCCGCTCTCGCTCGCTCCGTCTTCGTCGTCGTCGTCGTCGATCCTCCGTCTACGCCGTACGTATTACTATTATTATTATTAACATTATTACTATTATTACTATTATTATTATTGCGTATAGAGATATATAATAATAAAAATAATAATATAATAATAATAATAATACACGCGTTACTGTTGCCGCCGCGCGACTCTCGCTCGGTGTTGCGCGCGCACGCCGACGTGATGGTATAATATTATAATACGTATATTTATAGCGTTTATTTAAAGTCGCTGCGGCCCGGTGCGCGTCGCGCGAGAGCGATATCCTCGCTCGCGGGACGTCTGCTGCTGCCCCTAAGTCTGCGAGCCCGCACAATTTTTTTCC